GATTAAATGTGCTGTGTATGTATGTGTTGAGTATTATGTATTATTAAAGCATAAAACTATAATGAAAATGGAAATAAAGAAGCATTGCAAAAACATGTCTTTGAAATGGAAGAGCTGATCGGGCTACTGGGGGAGAGTCTTTATTCACCACTGCAGGTAGATGGCAGCTGGTCCCATCAGAAGCTTGAGAAACCCCTATATCCACAACTGAAAGTCCCTGGAGTAGAAGTCACTCTAAGACGCCCCAGCAGGGTAGTGTCTCATGCAGCAAGAGCAGGATTGTGCTTGTGCACACCCATAAATTACCCCATCCAGAGCAAGCTGGGTGTTGAGGTGTTCTCATTGTTTGGAAATTTGTTGTTGGGGAAATATTAACAACCTCACAGCACATAGTTCTTTGCCATGTCTAAGTGGATTGCCAGTCCCTTGAGGCAGAGGCTGTCTGGGTTTGCCTTCCACAGAGCCAAACACATTGTCAGCACTCAATTAGACGGGTATATATGGTTTCATGCTGACTCAGAGCTCAAAGATAGCTACTCTATTTTTCTTGTTGAGCATCCCTGTGTAGAGAGCGAGTTATTTTTATCTGAACCTGAACCTTTCTAGCATTATTTGTGTTAGGTAAAAATAAACCCTGTGTACTTGAAGTGAAAAATGAAAGAAGGGATCTTTTCTTGGAGGTGCCTGTGATCCTATCAACCTTCCAGTAACAGAGGAAATTCAAGCTCTGCTTGTGCCTCTGTCAATGCTTTTCTTCCTTCTTGCTTGTACTATGTGGATGACCTGCTGACAGAAGAAGCAGAAGATGCAAAGGGCTGATCAGTCCACGTAAGAAAAGAGCAAGTTGAAGACAGAGGGAACAGTGTCTTTGGAATCAAGGAGTGGGAAGCTGATGGGTCAGAGCCGCTTCAGGGAACAGTCATAGAGTCAAGCTGGTAAATTTTTCTTTATAGGAAAAGAAGAGAACAGTAAGAGCAATGAAGTCTGCTTCCAGTAGGCAGGAGCTTTTTGTGACTTAAAGTCTACTGTTTCTCCCTCTAACTTCATCTCCTTTGCTTCCACTTTCTGGGGGTTTACTTTTCCAATGGCTACACAGACAGCTCCTGAGAGGGGAAGGTGAGTAGCAGCTCTCTGGCCACAATCCCTGAAAGGTGACTGAAGGTACATGAAGTGGGCAGCAGAGGAAGATGCTTTCCTGCTCTGGGAGCTGTTTGGGTGGGAAGTGTAAGGTTTGTAGGGTTTTTTAGGCTACACATTGTTGTAATTCCAGCCATGCATGGAAAAGCTGGGCAGTCCTGGCTGCCTGTGCACCTGTACAGGGTGCAACAGGCATTCCAGGGCAGAAATAGCCACCCAACCATCCTGTTTGGGCAATTAGACTCTTCCTGCATTCTCACCGCAGCAGGCATTTCAGCCACAAAGGGAGACAGAAAGACAAATGGGATCTGCTGTTGAAAATACCTGTACTTAAAAGAACCTCCCTCCTGGGATGGCATTCATTATGTGTCTGTTATTCATCCTTGGCTCACATGATAATTTGCTCCTGCAGAAATGTCTCTCAGCTCCACCCAGTGCTGGGACTGAGCCACCTCTGCTGGCACTGCTGGAGATCACTTACCAAGAGGAGTTAGCTGTATGGCATATATAATAGTGACTGACTACACCTGCACACGTCTGCTCCAAACACAGTCACTTCCAGCTCATCCCAAATCCCAATGGATCTCTAATTCGGCCCTGGCTTGCAAAGCACATTTCTTCAAGAGCTGAGGTGGCTTTAAGTGTAAATGGGAAGAGAAGCTGTTGATTGGGAAGAAGCAAATGAAATGCCAGCCTCTGTCACACACTCTCCTAATAGAAAAGATTTGTGGCAGTGGGTTGAGCTGAAGCAGCAGCTGCTGTGGTGTCACTTGAGTATTAACTGAGTGAGTGCAAGGAGCAGAAATGCTGTGGAAGAGGCTGGCATAAGTGCCCAGGCTCCATTCCTGAAATGCATCCCTCTGCCTTACGCTGCAGCCGTCTTCCTCTACAGATGGATCCTGTTTCTGCTGCCCCTCGCCAACTGAATGTGATGGTAGTGTTCTGTCTTCTGGATGAGTTCTCTTCTTTGTGGTCTTCAGTTGAACAGAACCTCAACTAGAGGAACCCAGGTTTCCATCCCACCATGCCCTAGATTCATTCACCTCTGTTTTACCAACCCAGTCTGGTGTTCAGGAGTCTCGTCTGTCATTTGCAGGAGTAATTGTCAAAATTGATTCATGGGAAATGCCTATAACAGGCAGATCCTTTTGACAGACCAGCACAGCCATCATATTCTGCATTTGTTTGAGTCACTCAATGCTCGGATGCATATTTGGGTCATAAATACTCTGATATAAATTGCGTTTATTACAATGACAGCTGTGTTCCATTACTTATTATTTATTAGGTTCTGCTGTCTTTTCATTTTACACCTTGTGGAGCTGTCAAGTCAGCTCCTTACCGGTGACAAAGCGCACGGCTCAGTTCGGAAGCTTCCAAAAATAAATTCTCCAAAGGGATTTGAGTACCAGCAGGATGTATGCTGTTGGAAAGGCATTGGACTATCTCTTCTTGGTTTGCTTTATTGGAAAGAAGAGGTTTGTGCTTTTTGCCTATTTTTGCCCATGTTCCAAAATGAAACTTTGTGCTTGTGATCCAGAGGTGGCTGAAGCTGATAATCCCAGTGATTGATGTGAATTTTGGATCACCCCCTCCATGTCTGAGTTGAATTAATCAGGTTATTTGGCATTTGAAATCGTGGCATGCTGACTTGGATGGTTCTAATTTTCTCTCAGAAGCATTTTTAGCTTCATGTCTTTTTGCATCATAAAAATGGCAGAATATCTGATTCTGAGATGAATGGATTTCAGTGTCCGTCCAAGGGTAAGGTCAAACTGCAATGGGCACACTGCTCTGTATGAGTCAGAGTAATTTTCTGCTTCTCATTCCCAATCCACAGTCACATATCCTTCGTGCCATGTTGCTACACCAGCTTTGCAAGGTGCCGAGCACTTGGGTGTTAATTCAGGAAAGCACTTAATCATGGAATTGATGACCTTAAAGTGCTTGGTATAAGCATGTGCTGAAGTGCCTTGTTGGACTGGGGCCAAGGCAGATGTACCTTTGCAGAGCAGAGATTTATGAAGCATTTCTGGACTACTGGAGCCAAGTTCACCAGAGATGAAGGGAGCTGGACTGTGCTGCTGGGGTGGGTGAGCACGAGGTCTTCCTAAATGGGATCAGCTCCATAGACATGGGGCTGGTTTCCTGGGATCTCAGAGTAGCTGAGTAGTTTCTCTGTAAAACACAAGAGATGAAAACACTGGGTAAATGCTAATAGTTTTACTCAACAGGTTTCGTTTGCACAAGAATTTGGAGATAGATGCAGGGACTGAGGGTTCTATCAATACAGTTTATGTGCTAGCATAAGACCACATTGCTTATAGTATTTGTATTGAAATATGTGTGCTATAATGTTGCATGTGTTTCTTTTCATGTCTCAACACTTCTGTATTGTCTCTATTTATTTTATTCTCAATGGAAAAGGAGTAAATCTGTAATTCCAGTCAAATAACACAGTGCAAAATTGGTATACAAACAGTCGTATGGCTCACAAAATACAGATGCAAATGGGTATGTATTATTTACAAAGCAGCTTTCACATCTTAATGTACTAAAAAAGAAGAGGCATTTAGAGAATTTCATAGTTCAGCATTCCTTCTGCACATTTTTGAGCTATTGTGTATCATCATCCATGAAAAATTAATAATCTGGTTCTTAATCACCTTAATTTTATGCATGCATTCCAACCAAAGGGGTGTGTGTCCTCTGCTCTTGCCTTTTCCTTCCTGTTCTATTCCTCTCACCCCCTTTTACACAATTTAAGTAGAAGGCTGGGGTTAGACAATGCCAAAAGCTCACCCAAGAGCTGCCTCATAACTACAGTCAAAACTCTGTGACTGAAGAGGAATCTCCAGGTATTCTGGTGTCCCACCCAAATCCCTGTGCATTTGCTGAACCAAAGACAGACAGTGAAAGTCAAAAAGCTCATACGACATGGCAGTAAAATCAGTGTAGTTGCTCTCATCCAAACCTCTTATGTGTAGTCAAAGCCAGGTATAAATCAGCTGAATACCTGGCAGTTTCTGCCAAGTTCCAAATTAATCATAAATATGGTGTGAGTGCCTCATTTCAGGTGTTTTCAGTGGTGTCACTGGCCAGATTTTTTGAGCTAGGCTGAAGGAGAGAACTCTGAAGCTTAAGGGATTTTGCTGTTTATTCTATCCAGAGCCTCATTCCTACATGACAGAAGGTCTTGGTTTAATGCTTTGGGGTTTTGGGGGGGGTGAAGAAAAGGGAAAAGGTGAACTTGTAGTCTTTCACCTGAGGACATTCCTGGCCTGCTAGGGCTTTGTAGGTTAAAATTCTTTCTTTTAGTGAGATGGGTCTAAATACAAGTTCAGTGCTGGTGAATGGACCTAACATGGAGACAGGAGTTGTCTAACTACAGGACTGGTGCCAGTAGAACAGTATAAGTGTTTACTGTTTTCTTTCACTGTTTTATGGTTGCCTTAAAATACTACTAGAAAGGATGAAAGCACTTCAGTTTCTGTGCCCTGAATCTCTCTGGTCTCTGCTGCCAGAGTCAACAAGGAGCCCTTGCCTTGCTTTCTGTTTGCTCAAAACTCCTTCCAACCTCTGCTTAACCTTCTCAATGACATTTAGGCAAAAGCTCGTAATATATTCTGTCGTGGTTCTGCCCATCCGAGCTCACTGTGGACTTTGAGGGCTGGTGCTTTCAAATGTAATACGAGTTCAGTGGCACTGACTTCTGAAAGCCCATCAGAACATGCAGCTTTGTAAGTGAGGGCTGCAGCATGTCTAATTAAATAGAACTGCTCTCTAGGGGATTTGGCTTGCAGAAAATTAGTTTTCATGTTCTTGGCCTGACGTTTATTAAATGTTTCTTTCCTCCTTTGCAGTTTTCATCTGCAGTTTCATGGTTGCAGCCCCGATCTTTGGCTACCTTGGGGACCGTTTCAACAGAAAGATCATTCTCAGCTGTGGCATCTTCTTCTGGTCAGCTGTCACTTTTTCAAGCTCCTTCATCACTGAACAGGTAAGACCTTTGAAGAGGCGTCACAGTGTGCTCAAGGGGAGTGTATCTCTCTTACGTATATTTAACATATAGCATATTGCATTATCTGACCTTCTGTGGGTGAAGTGTGAGCTGTGTAACTGTTTTCTTAACTGTAAAAGCTGTTATTCTTTGATTCATTTGATTCATAAAAAATATCATGTGAAAAGCAAGAGCTTCTGTTGACATAAGGGCTTTGTTGTGAGAGAGATCATAAAGAAACTTTAAAAGGCTTTTAAAAAGACATGGGAAGAAAAAGAATCCATGGCTACATGGTGGTTCTCCTGTCTTCTGATATCTAACCGAAGTCATTGGAGTTTGTTGGGAAGTCTGCCTGTGGTATGCAGAATGACAAAATTCAGCAGCAGTGGGTTTATGCATATGCTGAGTTTCCTGTCTAACAACAGCAGTGAAGGTGGATGATAGCATAGAGATTAGGCACAGATTCAGCTCCTTTAGCACCAGCTGATGGATATGACTGGGAAACTCATGATGGAGTTGTCAGGCTCACTTAATTTTGTCAAGCAACGCACAGCATCCCTCGCCTGCTTTCAGAGCAGTCACAAAACCCCACTTTAAGGACTCCTTGTTGCATTCATTTTCTTTCCTGTCAGAGACACTTTGAGGAAACAATGATCTGGCAGTTTCTAGGGGAAAAAAATAGCCTCTTGTTTCAATCATATCAGAGAGGAGGTTTAATTGCTTCAGGTGACAGCAGTCCTGGAGAGACAAATCACAGCTCCTGGCATCATCAGACTGATTTCCCCAAGGGAGGCAGGGGCATTCCTCATCCTCTCTGTCCAGCTGCATTCCAGAGATTGTGGCATTGTGGTCATGCCAAGGAATGACAACCAGGGCCTGAACCTCTCCACCCTGCTCCCTCCTGCCCACCCACATGCTCTGCAGTTTCTAATAAAAGAGAATTTCCACCTAAAGTGGGCAGTGGCAGTCACACATCTGTCCGCCTTTCATGTTGGGTTGATTGTTGCTGTGTTTCTAAAGGAAAATGCGTATGGCCAAATGCAGAAGCCTTTAACTCAGTGAATTGGTCTGGTTTATAATTGGCAGGAAAGTGCCTTTTCCAGAGAAAAAGAACATCTTCCATCCAAAACAAAGAGGCTTTTTTGGGTTTCTTTCTTTTTTATTGTATTTATTTTTAATCTCTCCTAACTTTCTGCACAAGCAGCTGCGAGCAGAGCCCAAAGAGGGAAGCATTTCATGAAGGAACCAATCACCTGCTTAAAATCACTTCCTATGTTACGAACACAATTTCATGCTCAGGTTCTCTTCAATGTCTCTGCAATGGACCTAGTCCTGTAGTTGCAAGTAATGCAACACTGGAACTGGATTGATGTAATCTGTGTTCTCAGAGTTGATTTTCAGTTTAAGGATTTGAAGCCTACTTGCTGAAGTATTCATGGGATTAATAAGTATGATCAGTATGCAGGAGCTCAGAGTGGAAGTGGAGTATTGTTATCCAAAGAAAGGGAGAATAATGTTTATAAAGCTGGATTATGTTTGGAATCCAAACACCAAAGTTTTGGAAGTCACAAGGGAGACAAGATCAAAATAGCCAGACCCGTGCTAACTCCTCCTGCACTGGCATGAGCGCTGACTCTGGACCCGAACTAGAGACTAGGACAGAAACCACCCCAGTGCTGAGGAAAATCCCCTGTCCTGATTTTACTGTGATCCACAACTCTGCCAGAAGACATATCTTAAGCCAGAGGTCTCATGCCCAGCTCTTGGTAACCAACTCCAGGATGATACGGAGAATTTTGCAGCTGCAGTATGGACATGCTCTACCCAGTGGCTGCAGCACTTGAGCCAGGTCATAAGAAAAATCCCAACTTCACATAGTATCCCTTTTGGAGCCCTGATCTCTAATTGGGAAGACATGCCATATTGAACAAGGTGAATTCCTGAAGTGGTGATGAATAAAGAGCTGATGCAACCTTTTTCTTTATGTAGTGACTAACCAGACATTTTTCCTGATCTTTGCCTTCTAGGATTCACTTAAGGAGCAAAACACTGTCTCTTCTCTCAACATTTTTCTTTCTTTCTTTGAAGACAGTTTGTGTGTTTGTCAGGGGGGAAGGCTGGGAGCTGAAATAGGAAAAACTCTTTGCCTGGCACAAATAAAAGTAGTAGTAAGACTACTGTAAGCAGATAAGTACTCACATCCAAGTCAACATGAAAACACAGGGCTAGAAGGAGCAAGTTGGCAGAGGCTGAGCCCATTGAAAAGCTGTACAGAAAACTCTTCTGTGTGGCAACAGCAAAAATACTGAACTAGGTAAGGAACAATAGCCAGGCAGTAGAAATAGCAAACTGTGTCTTCAGGGATTGCCCTTCTTCAAATTTTAACAGTGTCTAGTGCCTTATGCATGCTATTGCTGTCTAATTAGAGAGTACACATCTACACAGTTCAAATTTGGAGTGTAAATGGAAAGAGACAGTTTAACAAAGGCAGAATGCAGCTACATTGCCGGTGGACTCTGAAGGCAACCCATTTATAAAGGTTCTTGGCAGTGTGTTGGTAATATTAGTTCCTGTCTAAAATTTAGACCCTTAGAGGAAAACAATCCAAATGCTCTCATTACCCTTCAGACCCCAGGTTGGGCACCAAAAAGAATGTCATTGATTAACCCCAGCCAGCAACTGAGCCCCACGCAGCCACTAATTCACTCGCTCCCCTCTGGTGGGACGGGGAGAGAATTGGAAGGGTAAAAGTGAGGAAACTCATGGGTTGAGATAAAGGCAGTTTAACAGGTAAAGCAAAAGCCCTGCACAAGCAAATCAGAACAAGGAATTCCTTCAGCACTTCCCATGGTCAGGCAGTTCAGCCATCCCCAGCGCAACAGGACTCCATCATGTGTAACAGTGACTTGGGAATTCAAATGCTATCACTCCAGACATTCCCCCCTTCCCTCTTCTTCCCCCTGGTTTATATGCTGAACATGATGCCATGTGGTCTGGGATATCCCTTGGTCAGTTGGGATCCGCTGTCCCAGCTGTGTCCCCCCAGCTTCTTTGTGCTCCCCCAGCCTCCTCACTGGTGGGGTGAGGTGAGGAACAGAAAAGGCCTTGACTTTGTGTAAGCACTGCTGAGCAGTAAAGAAAGCATCTTTGTATTGTCAACAGCTTCCAGCACAAATCCAGATCATAGCCACACACTAGCTACTATGAAGAAAATTAGATCTATCTAAGGCAAAACCAGCACAAAAGGCTTGGAGCTCAATGAAGCAGTTCATCTAAGATACTATCTAAATGCTGTTTCATGCTCTTTGGCTTAAAAAGATAGTGACCGAAAACTGGCAGATAAACCGAGGAATGGGATATATATGCCATGCAGAAATGTAGTTGCTAGAAAGCACTGCATTAAGATTTTTAATGCACTTTTTAAAATATCCATAGTTAGTTATTACCAAGTATCTTTGGGCTTTTAACATGGAATAATGACAGTCAAATAAATGAAGAATGAATCTCTCAGCTGCTAATAGCTACTAAGTAACTAAATAATAGGCTCTCACAGGGAAAAAAGAAAATCAAACCAAAATTTAAGGAGAGTTCCAGAGTATATAGGAGGTGATAGTTACAGAAATTGTAAGTTTAACTAAAGAAAATCATCAGAAGTAACAAGACCTGAGATAATAGTGAGGTCATTTTTTACTCTGTCAAATAATGTGATTTGACAATTTAGATAAGTGCACAATTTCTCTATGGAAAAATAAGAAATGAGTCTTCTATTTTGCCTCAGGTACTTGCACATTTCTGCTCTAAAACGTTGTTTAGCACTTACTAAACTGAAAGTTGCATAAAATAATCATTAACAAACTTGTTCATTAATGGAAAATTAAAGTTGGTCCGTATTTAGACATGTGTCTAGATTAACTCTATTTCGAGAAACTTCAACAAAGTATGTATTTATTTAATTTTTACTTTCTAAGTAAAAACCCCTCTTAGAAATTAGCTCCCTTTTTGCATGCCTTTTAATCAGCTCTGTACCAAAGAAATGCACTGAGCACATGTCCTGGGTTCAGCTACAACAGTCATTTTTTCTCCTTCTCAGTAGCTGGTACAGTGCTGTGTTTTTGACTTTCAGCCTGGGAACAACGCTGATAACACCCATGGTTTTAGTTGTTGCTCAGTAATGTTTACTCTGACCAAGGACTTTCTCAGTCTCATGCTCTGCCAGGGAGGAGGGGAAGCCGGGAGGAAGCAGAGGCAGGACACCTGACCCAAACTGGCCAAAGGGGTATTCCATACCACAGCACGTCATGTCCAGTATAGAAACTGGGGGGAGTCACCCAGAAGGCCCAGGTCGCTGGTCGGGCTGGGTATCAGTCGGCGGGTGGTGAGCGGTTGTGTCCTCTCCCCTTGTTATTTCCCTTATCATTATTATTATTATTATTATTGGCAGCAGCAGTGGTTTGTATTATACCTTAGTTACTGAACTGCTCTTATCTCAACCCGTGGGAGTTACATTCTTCCGATTCTCCTCCTCATCCCTCCAGGAGTTGGGGGAGGAAGTAGGAGGGGAGTGAGCGAGCAGCTGCATGGTTCTGAATTACCAGCTGGGCTTAAGGCACAGCAGCACATGATATTCCTGGAGTTTCTTTACCAAGATGTGTTTCCATCCACATAAAAAGCTAGATGTGTGTCTCTCTTCCTCTGCTTCAATATAAACTCTCTATATAAATTTCAATATAATAAGTAGCCAGGTTTTTCTCTAGATAGTATTTCGATGAGCATCGTGCCTGATTGCCTGGGTTGTGGCTGATCATCTTGAGCTGGTTTATACTCCAGGACGTCATTGGGATGAGCCTGTAATCCCAATTGCACCATTTCTCTCTTTCTGAAGTTTCACAGGAAGCAACTTTCTTATCAGGAGTAGTCAGGCCAGGTGGTGAGCATTTGTTTCTGGCAACTTGGGTACCACATCTATCAGTCTTCCGAAACAGTGCCGTTTCCCATGTAAA